GGGGGGGGGGGGGTGTGGAACTTGTCAGGACTTTTATTCCACGGCACGCCATATACAAAGAGTTACATTTTAAATGATATTAAAGCTTTTAAATGTGATCTTTGGAGCTAAGGTCCAGGCACTCTCTGCACTTCTGCCCAGAGAGTCCAAGTTAGAGTGGAGTTTAATTTGCTCTTTCAAAAAAGAACTTGACAGCTCTTGCTGACCTTGCATAGTCGTATAATTTAAACAAATGCATACTGTCTGTGGGAGGCAGAAACTTTCTAGCAACTGCTTGTCCAAGTTTTGTGGTTCAAAGAGGACTTTCACGGGCGAAGTCCGGGCTCGGGGGCTTGCGCTGTAAAACTCTGATCTTACGCTCGGCGCTGCAAAGTCTCTTTAGGTCAGTTTGGCAGCCACCGTCCGTGCACCGACTTCTCGTTTCCCATCACTGGCCCCAGTTCAAATTTCCATTCTCAGCAAAATTATATCCTTCAAGGCTTGTGTTTTTCCAATTTGCAAGCACTTTTAAGCCGCTGTCACCGGTTCCCTGATGAAACTGCCTGAGGTCTCAATTCATAAAATGTCCCTGCCCCCGAGTACAACATTCATTTGCTGCTTTCAAATACTCCACCGCCTCGGACTTTGGGGAGCAAGTGGCTTAGGGGTTAAGGATCCATCCTCGCGGGGCGCCTGATTCTGCTGCCCTTGAGGTGCCGAGACGCAGGCTGGCTCCCTGCTTTCAAAAGAAATCAAGTCAATACACACATGTGCCGTGTGGTCTGACCACTGGGGCATTTGTCTCCCGGCTCAGATGATCCTAAAAGAGGCTGTGGCGTGTTACGTCTGCCTTCATTGCGAGTTTGGAAAACTGCTTCTCCAAATGTACTTTCCGTGCTGTGTATGCTGAACTTTTCAGAGGCAGAGCTAGCAAGAGTCGGTGCTTTTTCCTGCGCCTGGGGCAGGAAGTGGTTTGAGGGAGGCGAGTGGTCTTTCAGATTAATTCAGGGAGTAAAGGTGTCCTGTCTGGAGGCGAAGCTCACAAGCTGATGGATTGTACCCGGAGGCTCTAGATCTTTTCCAAGTGTTTGAGTCAGAGGGAAGAGGGTAAGGGAGAGGACTGGAGCCCGGGTCACTGTCTTGGGGGGAGCGGGGGGGTCCACAATCAGCATCCACATCCACACAATGGAAATTGGTGGTGGCTTGATTGAAGGGAAAAGATTGACTCAAGTCCCAGCAGTGTAATTTGTTCATTGTCTGAATGGACAAAAGGCAGTTTACCCAGACTCACAGCCTACCTGCCTGGGTGTCCAAATGTAACTAGATGCTTTCACAAACCCCACCCACAAAGCAGCACATGTTTTTAAGTCCTCAGTTTTCTACTCACATCAGCCTCATAATACCCACCCTGACCTGCTGTAAAAGATCTGGAACAAACAAAAATGGTTACACCTACAGTGAGTATTTTCTTATGACTATTGCCCTCAGATTTTGCTGGGCATTTTCATTGCAGCCCAGACATCTGGAATCAATTGATATTCCATTTATTTAAGGTAAAAAGAAAGGTCTTTTGAATTTTGGATTTGGGGGGGGCGTTCAGAAAGGGTGCTCTGATTTTTTCCCTTCTATTTTCTCTTCTTTTTTCTGGTTCTTCCTTTTTTCCTCTCTATCATACCTTTTCTTTCTCTCTCTTCATTTCTTTTGTGTTTGGCAAAACTAAAGGCCAAGGAAATGATGAGCATATGGGGCCACTTGTTTCAAACTTTTAACTCTTAAACAAGTTCATTATTGTTTTCTTTTGAGGGAGCGTAATGTGATAAATTTTTTGGTTCTCTGTGGCTGTGCTGGGCTATTTTGTGAACTAAAAGAAAGTTTATTAGAGGTTCTGTCTTGTCCTAGAACTGTAAGTGCTGGCATGTATCTGACAATATATTTCAGCAAAAGAGAGGGAGAGAAAGCTGTAAAAAAAATCTTAAATTCTTAAATGCTAGAGACTTATATGTATTGCTGGGCTTAGATGTGTTATACCAGAAATCACTATTAAAAATATAGCTTTGACATCTAATGATGTTGTCAGTTCACTAAGGCTGTCAGTTGAGTACCTTTTCCTCTGGATTTCATGAGAACTGAAGAGCGTGGAGGCACCTACAGTTGCAGGTGCTTGGCCTGGAGCATTGCTATAAACTCAACAAAGAAGAGAAGGGTGAGAAATAAGACTAGTAGCATCAGGACACATTCTAGAACTGACCCACTGCCAGAGTGTGGGGTATGTTCTGTAAGAACAATTACAAGTTGCTCTTTTGAAAAGGGCAATGAAGTCCAGTTGGGTTGGTTTTGTTGAGGTTTCCACTGGAAATATGGAAGGGGGAAAGCCTCATCAATTATTTTATAACTAGGGAAAAAGAGGACTGGATGATGATTTGTTTCTAGCAGTCAGTGGTTTGGGCTTCGTGGGGGTGGAGGGTTTCCACAGGACTCCAACAGAGTCCTATTGAGAAAATGGAAGAAATGTTCAATTGCACTTCTACCTTCTCTTGAATTTTATGTCCATTACTTATGATGATATACAAATAGAGGGCACTTTTGGTGGTCAACTATTTAACAAGAATCAGGGGGTTAGGGTTCCCCCCTCCCCCAATTTCTAAGCTGAAGTTCTGGCCAAAAACATGGAAATCTTAATTAAAAGGATGGGGCACACTTTGTCACTGATGCAGAGCCATTAAGTTAAGAGTGCATGGAGAGCAAGGAGGGTGATAGAAAATCAGTAACAGTCTGTTTCTCCTAAAGGGATGGCGTTGAATGAATCTGCCTCTACTAGGAGGTTCCAAAAAGGCTCTTTTTATCATGATAGCTTCCATCCTAACTCCATCACCCTTTGATAGAGTCCCTCACTTAACCTCTTCTGGTGACTCTTCCAATGCTGCTGAGAGTAGATTCATCTAAGAAAGGGGAAGCCACTCATGTTGGGAGCCTTCCTGGAAGAAACCACATCTTGGTGCCACAAGCAGCAATATGGAAAAACTTAATGATCACCTTAGCCTTGTTTCTAGTCCTTAGAGTGAGGATGGAGCTGTGAGCCACAGGAATTCTGCCTCTGGCAGGGCTGCCACTTGGCTGTCCCTCAGCACTAAGTCAAGCCAACCAGGGGTCCCTTGGTATATATCACTATAAAATGGATCCAGTGTCACATAAGTCCCTCCAAGAGATGAAGTCAGAATTCCTGTGACTTAAAAAAAAAAAAAAGCTTTTGTAGGTTTTGAGCCCAGTGCTCTGTTCATGGAAGGCATTCTCTACACACAGTTGATTTGATATTGGGCTTGACACAAAGGGCTTTAGAATGCAGAGAGTGGGGTCGACTTAGCAAGAGCCAATTTCATTCCTAAATCCTCACAGTTTTCCTGTTTCTGTTGTTTTGTTTTTTTTTACTTCCACTTGTGGTTGTGTTAACTTCTGATATCCCCAGGTAAGAAATCTTTGTCTCTCTGTCTTTCTCTCTTTCTTGTTTCTCTCTCTCTCTCAATCTCAAGTGAAAAAAAAGAAAAGTTCTATAATGATATATAGTATTTTCACAGGTCCTTTTTTAGCCACCATAAATTCTCTTTAATCAGTAGCTAGGGAAGGCTGTTCTGATGAATTGAATATTCTGGTCAATAAAGAATGCATATGCCATCTGTGGATGGCCAATCTTTAGAGAATTTAAATTAATAGAGCCTATTTGGCACGAAATCTGGCCTGAGCACAAGTTAACGTTTGATAATTCAAAAAGTTTAGGAACCCATAAAGAAGGGGTGCGGGGAGGGCTTCTCCAAGGTTCCACAGTAGCAAGGGGATTACACGCAGGTCGTCTGATGCCAAGACGTGCTGGGCCCGGGCGCCCTGCGGCCTCGCGCTCTGGCTGTGGCACTGCTGCGCAGGGTGGCTCTGGTCCGGGACAGCGATGGGACGCGGGGGCGGGGGTCCCTGCACCAGTGCCCCACCCCCACGCCCTTGCAAGGCGCCAGGAGGGAACATGACCCCCTTCTGCTTCCCCGCAGGTCAAGGTGCACATCATGTCGTCGTCGCATCTCTTCTACCTGGCCCTGTGCCTGCTCACCTTGGCCAGCCCCGCCTCGGCTGGGCCGGAGACGCTGTGCGGGGCCGAGCTGGTGGACGCGCTGCAGTTCGTGTGCGGAGACCGGGGCTTCTACTTCAGTAAGTAGCCCTCCCGCCCCCAGCCCTGTGCCTTTACAGCCGCAGGGCGCGTGTGACTAGCGCAGGGACTGCCCGTGGCCCCCCCCCCGGGTGCCCGCCCTCAAGCAAGGCCCGCGTCCGGGGCTGCGCCGCTCCGCAGGTTTCCGACGGCATTTTCCTCCTTAGCAGTTTGCCTTTTAACTATTTCCTCCTGAGCTCTTCTGCAGCTATTATGCTCTGCCCTCACTGTCCCAGTCCCTTCAGTGAAAGGAGGGGACGAAACGACCCTCGGGGACTGAGGTTTTTGCTCTTGAGACCCTTGTGTGCACATCTGACCATATGGCAACACGGAGATTTGTTCGAAGGGCTAGATAATTTGGAGTCAAACAGCAAGGTGGACTTGGAAAAGGAACTGAGGGGGCACATCCCAGATGTCTCCGTGGTAATCGCCAGGAACAGACAGAAGGGGAACTTGCCTCAAAGGCACTTTTGCAAACACCCAGGGTCTCCCTTAAATGCAAACAGAAATGCCAGGTTCATTTGCCCTCGATGCAAATTGACCTTGACTTTTCGTTCCTGCCTTCCTCTGGCCTGGCCCTTTCCTGAGGCTCTCCAGTGATATCGCCATCTGGAAAAGGGTTTCTGGCGAGTGTGGGGTTACTTATCCCACAAGGAGGTCTCAGGTGATTAAAAAAGTCGACAGTCCATAAAATGTAGACAGCCAAGTCCACCGGTTGCAAACAATAAACATAAACAAAAGTCAGTGCTGCCCGAGGGAACTCATCACTTAAACAATCTACCCCCGAAGCATCTCTTGGTGCGTTACAGAACAGCGAAATCTAAAGCCAGACGCTCATTCTGTATAATTCTTTGGAATTTTAGAGAGTTCCAGAAGACTGACGCTCAGGTCCTGGGTGAGCATGAATCATTCTTAGAGATTCGTATCTCTCAAGTGTAGACAGCTTACATCAGTTACCCACTAGGCTTTGAAGAGCTCCTGGGATGACTCACACATTTCAAGTCTTTCTCATCTTCTTCCCAGGGAAG